GTCATGGTGTGTGACACACCTCTTGGAGATGGGAGACAATATACAAGAAGGACTTTACCTAACAAATGCAATCAGTATAATTTGATTCTCTGTACTCTTAATAAATCCCAAACAGTAAAAAAAGAAAGAAAGAAAAAGAAAAAGAAAGAAAAAATAGAAAAAAAGAAAGAAAAGAAAAAGAAAAGAAAAAAGACTTTCTTTGCACTTGTCCAAGCCAGGGTGCTGACTCCTAGGTGGGCTGGTGCTTCTACTCAAGCTGTACCATAAACCAACAGAGCACCAAAGCTGGGATATTCTCATCTTTTATATAGAAACTGTGTCCAGAAAGATAAAAAAGACTTGCCCAAGGCTGCTCAGCAATGGAGAAATTAGAAACTTGAATTAATTGCTGAAACAATCCACTGCTGTTGTCACTGATGGTCAGATACCCCTGCCTGAAACACAATGAGTATCATGACGATGGTCATGATGATGGTGGTGACAACAATGGTGCCAAAGACATCAATGACAATGATGCTTATGTAAGAATAACTGTCATTCATGGGTCCACATCCCAGTATTTCTCTTTGACTTTAACAGTACAGAAAGTACTGGACTACATGGAGAGCAATCAGATGTAATCTAAATCCCAGATCTTGCACTGTACATGAATATTTTTCCCACGGTAGGGAGGCAAGGTGCTGCTACTATGCTTCTTAGTTTAACTAACTAAGACTTAGTTAAAATTTGCTATCTCAGCTTTATTGTCCCTCTACATTTTGGATACTAAAAGGTATTCCTTTTCAATTCATCACATGTAACTAAAAGTAATATATGGCTGTTTCTAAAAAAAAAAAATTCCTTCTCCAAAAGCCAATGATTGGCAAATGTTGACAATATTCAAATATATGAGCTGTTGATTCTGAAATTAATCCCCAAAGCAGATGTGGAAAAGAGAAAACAGTGTAGCACATTATTTGCCATATATTATTGTTTAGGTATATCACATTCTTGGAAGCAAGAACACAATGTTTGAAATACATTTGTAGCTCTCCCCAGAACAAATGGTTTCTTTGAAGGTGTCAGCATTCATTTGTGTGAGTTACCTTTTATATGTGAATTAACAATTAGTAGCTCTTTCAAGTCCTATCTCTGTTACCATAACCTTCCTCATGTAGAAAATCTCCATGGGCCAATTTTCCATATGAAGGGCAGAATCCTCCCGTTCTGGAGGGGAGTGGAGACTCTATTTCCTTGGTTATAATATGGCTTAGGGAACTTGTACTCTTTATGTGAACAATACATTAAAACACTATTATCCTACTTAAGTGACATTTTGAAGGCAATACCTTTGAACATAGACAACTAGACTCGAGCAGTTAGGATCACAAGCGTGAGCCACTGCATCCAGCCCAGACAACTAGACTCCATCTCCATCTCTGTTTTTCCTTACTTCACAGACATAAGCAAAATGTCCTTTGAGGAACTCTGCTGTAAGTATCCAAAGATCGCCATAGAGAAGATAAGCGATGACTATAAAACATATTGTGAGAGAGCTCCTCATATAGGCAAGTATTTATACACAGGGTTGGATTTGAGGCAGTTAGGATTTTTTTTTAAATCTAAGAGAGAATCTCAAAAACTCAGAACATAAGTTAAGAGAGGAATCTTGCTGTGTTTGAAACGGAGAGATGGTTAAAGGACAATGACTATGCTTTTTTTTTTTTGTCTTTTTTTAAAATAACCATCTTTATAGTACAGAAAGAAAACTGGTATGATTTCACTTTTGTTTTTAAATTTTTCAAGACTTGTGTTGTATTCTAACATATGCTGTATCCTTGAGAATGATTCATGAACCAAGGAGAATGTATATTCTGAAGCTGTTGGATGAAATGTTCTGTAAATGTACATATTAAGTCCAATGTTTCATTGTCAATTTTCTGTTTAAATGCTCTTCTAGTGCTGAACGTGGAGTGATGAGGTCTCCAATGATTACTTTATTGGGGTTTTTCTCTTTTTCTCTGATAAGACAAAATTTGCTTCATAGATCTGGGTGCCTCAGTGTTGGGTGCATATGTGGGTCACTACAGACATTTGATGCTGTGGCATCACAGGTCACAGCAACTTCCAGCTCTTGAGCTCAGGTGATTCTCTTGCCTCAGCCTCCCAAGTAGCTGGGACTACAGGTGCCCACTACAATGCCTGGCTATTTTTTTGTTGCAGTTTGGCCAGGGCCAGGTTTGAACTTGCCACTCTCAGTATATGGGGCCGGCGTCCTACTCACTGAGCCTCAGGCGACGCCCCATTATTTCACTTCTGAGAAACACAGTTGACAGTGTCCTTTCTGATTCACCTGTGCAAGTTTTAACTTACTTGGCTTATCGGTGTTGTTGGAAGGGCTTCATTTGTTTCCATCTACATAATTATTTTTTATTTTCTCTATACATGTATATAGATGTGTTTATTTGGTTTCCACTTTTTGCTTTCACAAAATTAAAAAGGCTTAAAATTTAATGACAATAACAATGTTTAAGATAAGGACTAGAAACAAAAACCTCGTAAAGAATGAAGATAAATACATTCAGAAAAGAAATCAGATGATTGCTGCAATAAAATATTGAGCAATAATAATAATGCAAAAAAATGCACATTGTCAGATAAGAGTATGTCTATGATAGAATGCTTTGACTCTGAGGTTCAGTATGGAGTCATCAGTTAACTTCTTAGTTTTTTTCCCCAAAGTCTCAAAAAATAGACAACTAATATTTATAAATAAAAATAAAAGATCAATAAAATATCTATTTTTAACTAATAATTTTTGTATCATTTTCTATATCACATTTTTATATATCTTCCATTTATATCAGTTTCTGGACCTTGATGTTTTCTCATGCAGTTATAAATATTATAATTTTTTTTTTTTTTTAAGAGACAGAGTCTCACTTTGTCATCCTCAGTAAGTGCTGAGGCTGTGGCATCACAGCTCACAGCAACCTCCAGCTCTTGGGCTTAGGCAATTCTTTTGTCTCAGCCTCCTGAGTAGCTGGAACTACAGGAGCCCACCACAATGGCCAGCTATTTTTTTGTTGCAGTTTGGCCTGGGCTGGATTCAAACCCACCACCCTCAGTATATGGGGCCAGCACCCTACTCACTAAGCTGCAGGTACAGCCCAATTTTTAAACTTATGTTTTTAATTGTATCCAGCATATGGAAATATATTTTATATATTATGTTTCAAAGTCTTACTAAATTAAATTATTAATTCTAAAAATTTATCTGTAAATTTCATTGATACACATAATCATGTCCTCTGCCAATGGAAAGTTTTATTTTGTGTTTTAGAATATTTATTCATTTGATTTACTTTCTTTTTTTTTTTTTTTTTGAGACAGAGCCTCAAGCTGTTCTCTTGGGTAGAGTGCAGTGGCATTACAGCTCACAGCAACCTCCAACTCCTGGGCTCAAGCGAGTCTCCTGCCTCCGCCTCCCAAGTAGCTGGGACCATAGGCGCCCGCCACAACGCCCAGCTATTTTTTGGTTGCAGCCATCATTGTTGTTTGGCGGGTCTGGGCTGGATTCGAACCCGCCACCTTAGGTGTACGTGGCTGGCACCTTAGCCGGTTGAGCTATAGGCGCCGAGCCTTGATTTACTTTCATTACCTAGGTCTACCATTACATTTTTAGATAGACATTGTATTAGGTTGAGACACACTTGTCTCAATCTCAGAGAGAGATTTAATTACAGATTTAATCCCTTTAAAATTTATAGGACTTCTCAGATTCCCTCTTTTTGTGCCCATTTTAGTTTGTTGTATATTTTATAAATTCAGGAATTTTGCTTGAGATTTTAAATATGTTGCCACGAAGTTTTTTATGATATTCTGTCATTACATTTAAGAGTATTTATAAACCATGTATTGTTGGGCATAGTGTTCTGTGCATATCAGTTAGGTCTATTTTGCTAAGCATGCTCAGATTTTCTATGTCTTTACCAATAGTTTTAGTTTGTATTTCTATCATTTGAGAGAGATTTTAAAATCTCCCACTCTGGATTATTTCATTTATCTTTTAAAGACTTTAAATTTGTGATTTATTTTATTTGAGGCTATATTATTAAGTACAAGTAAATTTGAAATTTTTATAGTTTCATAGTAGGGTAATGCTTTTTCTCCAGTAATACTTCTGCATTATTGAAGTCATCACCTTCGTCTGCATTATTGTGGCCATCACCTTTCTTTTCCATCCTTTTATTCTTTAATATTCTCTTGTTCTTACATATAAGGTGAGACTCTTTTAAGCTGAATCTTATTTCTTGTATTTTTGTTTTTATTAAATCCAATCTGACAATTGCCTTTTAATTAGATTAAGATAGAGGGGTTTTGTTGTTGTTGATGTCGTTGTTGTTAACAGTTCTATTCTTCTGTTAGTGTATTATTTTTTCATGTTTTTTTTTTCTTATTTTAGTGGTTACCAGGTATATTTTCAAATGCATCCTTGATGTATTAAAGTTTGATGTAAATTAGTACTTTTACTGCATATGTATTATTATTTTATGAGTCAATATTCATCTAAGCTTACTCACATATTTATTTTTTTCTCTCTTTTCCATTGATTTTTGCCTCCCCCATCTAGGATTATTTTCTTTATACCTAAAGAACACTCTTTGGTATTTCCTTCAGTGTGCATCAGAAAAATGTCTTTATTTGGTTTTTGAAAAAATTCTTTATTTTGTTTTTGAAGAACATAGTTTCCAAATGTAGAATTCTTATTGGAGTTGTTTTCTTTCAACATTTTGAACTTATTATTTCATTGTCTCTTGGCTTCCTCTGTTTACTTTGAGATGTTAGTTGTCACTTTTCATTAGCATTGCTTCATGGAAGGAAATATTTCTCATTTTTTCCTTGTTTTAACTCCCATTTGGTATCTGCTTGAATGTAATTTTAGTATGATGTACCTAAGTGTTTATACTATTTGTAGCTTTAAAATTTCTTGAGTTTTTTACTTATTGTCCTTTGTCAATTTTAGGAAATTTTCAGTTATTATCTCCTTCAATATTTGTCCTGCTCCATTTTATCTCTTCCTTCCTTTTGATAATTTTATTATACATATTTTCTAAATTTTAATAATATGTCACATTCTTTTTTCTGTATTTTCCATCTTTTCTTTCATTTTTGTGTATTTCAGTCTGGATTCATTCTTTTCATCTAACTATTTTAACTTCAGAATATTAGGGGGTATACATGTTTTGTTTACATACTTTGGTTTTGTATAAATTGAGTCAAAGTTGTAAGTGTGCCTTTTACCCAGAGTGTACACTGTACCCAATATGTATAAATTTACCCCTTTCCTTCTCTCCCCAGCTTAATTTTCATTGAGATTTACTTCTATATGTGCACTCAAATGTTGATCAATTTAGTTCCAATTTGGTATTGAGTATGTGTGTTTGTTTCTCCATTCTTGTGATGTTTCACTTAGAAGAATGGTTTCTATTTACATCCAGGTTGTCACAAAAGACAATTTATGACATAGTACTCCATGGTACGTATATGCCACATTTTACTAATCCACCCATGCACATATATTGGTGGGCACTTGGGTTGTTATTCTCACATCTTTGTGATTATGAATTGTGCTACTATAAACATTCAAGTGCAGTGTCTCTTTTATATAATGACCTTTTTTCTTTTGGGTATATACCCAGCAGTGGGATTGCAGATTAAATGGTAGGTCCACTTTAAGTTCTTTGAGGTATCTCCATACAACTTTCCACAGAGGTTGTCCTAGTTTTCAGTCCCACTAACAATGTGTAAGAGTTTCTTTCTCTTCTCATCCACACCAGTATCTGTTGCTTTGGGACTTATTAATATAAGCCATTCTTGTTGGAGTTAGGTGATTATCTCCTTGTGGTTTTGATTTGCGTTTCCCTAATGATTAAAGACCTTGAGCAATTTTCCATGAGTTTGTTGGCCATTATAATTCTCTGCATATACTTTGTCATTCAGCTCATCTATTAATTCTTAATTTTCTTACTTTCAATTATTAAACATTTTATATGTAGAATTTTCATTTTTTCTTTTTATAATATTCAATCCATGTTATTGTTTTTATTTTCATTTTCATTTTTTAATTATTTGAACTACATTAACAGTAGTAATTTGAAAATCCATATTTGAATTTCCTGTGTCTATTTCAAATGTCAGTGGTTTTTTCCCCTTTGGTTTTTGGCCAAGTATTTTTAAATACCTTGTTATTTCTGCTTGATTTGTGATCATTGTTAGTGACAATTTGTAGCACTAACTTGAGACTCTGATTGAAGCTATTTTCCTTCAGAGAATATTTTATTTTATTTATGGCATACATGGGGTGTTTATCAGGGCTTCTTCTCCTTTGTTATTTTGCAATTTTTGCACCTTTGTGACTTAAGAATCTGACAAAAGCTCTTCTTAAATGTCTTAGTAACAATTTATATAATTTCCAAATATCTTGAGAGTAAAAGCCATGCCAAAAGTTTTGCCCATTTTCTGAAGGCAAAGGTGGCTAGAGCACCTCAAGTATCTAAAGTAGCAATTCTTAATCTGTGGGTCGCAACCCACAGGAACTGGATTAAAGGGTTGCGGCATTAGGAAGGTTGAGAACCACTGATCTAAAGCCTACCTTTCTGATTTTAACAGCCTCTCTGTTTCTAATCTCTATATTTTATTTTATTTGTCTTAATTTCCTACAATTTTACTCCTGAGTTCTAAAGTGTGTGGTTTTTTATACAGTATTCTAGGTATTTTGTATTAGGAGGGGGTTTTTTTTTGGGGGGGGGTTCTTTTTATATCTAGTATTTCATAGTCTAGATTTAATTTTTTTATCTATTCTATTGCATTTATTTAGATCCAGTATATATATTTATAGCTTTCAATCCTTTTTGTATGCCATCTGTCACTGAAATTATTATCAAACCACATAAAAGTTACTTTTATGTCTAATAAGCATTTTGGGGGGTTGACTACCTAACTAGGTCATATTCTAATTTCTGGTAGTGATATGAGTAATACGTCATCTCTGCCCTTGATGAGTTTATAGACTGTTTTCTTCTATATGAATGTCAAAGGGCTCTTATAATACTGAGATCCATGAAATCTATTATTTTTCAACAATGATGTTTTGATATTTTTTTGAGCAATGATTTCTAAATGGCAGTAGGGAATCAGACACCTATTCTGAATTGGCATGGTATGTTGGACTATCATTAGAGAAGCTTTCAGTGGTGTCCTTTTTTTTTTTTTTTTCGAGACAGAGCCTTAAGCTGTCCCCCTGGGTAGAGTGCCGTGGCATTACAGCTCACAGCAACCTCCAACTCCTGGGCTCAAGCGAGTCTCCTGCCTCCGCCTCCCAAGTAGCTGGGACGACAGGCGACCGCCACAACACCGGCTATTTTTTGGTTGCAGCCATTATTGTTGTTTGGCGGGTCCGGGCTGGATTCAAACCGCCACCTTAGGTGTACGTGGCTGGCGCCTTAGCCGGTTGAGCTACAGGCGCCGAGCCAGAAGTGGTGTCCTTAAGAAAGAAAAATTGTTTTAATTAAAACAAGAAGGTGGAGGAGATGCTTAAAGAAAAGGTCAAGATTCCAAAAGTTTGCCAATTACAAAACAAGAGTTCCAGGGGGTAAGTGAAGGGTATAGAAGGGGATAGCAGAAGTGTTAGGGAGGACAGAATATCAAGTGAGTACGGTCTAGTAAAAATGGTGGATTGGAGGGGGGATGACATTTGGTATTGACTATTGTAATAAAGATTTGTATGATGGAGTTAGTCTCAGTGGTCTCTCTGAGGAAGGTGGGCTCTACGCCTACTGGCCAACATACTTAGATAACATGGCCTGGGCTGATGTTTGTGTTAGGCATGGCAATCATCCCTGAGTTTGTCTCAGTCCTACTGGCTGAGATAGCCGCAGTTATGGGGACAGTAGTTTTTCCACATGAACTTAATATATCTAATAAATTTCCTTGTTACTTTTTACCCTTTTATGCCTTCTAACATGGTGTTTCCCCATATTTATGACTTTTTTTAGATTATCCAGTAGAAATTGTCAAGGAACCAAAAGTAGTACGTTTATCCTTATCAAGAAAAATGTCTGTCTTCAAAAAAAGTGGTCTAAGAAAGCCTTCAATGAGACCCAGGTAAGATACAGAATCTGGCTACAGCAGTATCTCTAGGCACAAGGTTTTTAAAAATCTCACCATGTCTAATGCTGAACTTCTTTCATTGTGAAGGTTTTCAGACCATTTTCCATATGTCATACATATATTCATAGGCACATTTAGTACTCTAAATCATAATTCATTTTCTAAAATTGGCACCATGCATTATATGCTACGTAACAACTTTTTAAACTTAAACTATCATGGACATTTTTTCATGTGGGTATGTATAGATCTACCTTCTCCCATATTATGGACGTTGTTATATGTCAAAAGGTGGAAAAGTGGCACAAAGAACCAGGCCAAGGAAAGTTAGTAGCAGAGCTTTATTAAGAGCACCTGCAAGTAGATGGGCTGCCACTGACAGTGGAAAATGTCAACAGCACTGTGTTGAGCTAACAGCCTCTTTTAAAGCACTTCAGGGTGTGGTGCATGCTAGCTGAGGAGGTGGCAGGAATGCTGCAATACTGATCAAAGGTCATCTGCTGGAGGCCTTGTAAAAGGTAAGAGGGCCATCTACTAGAAATCTTCAGGAACCTGGAAGGAGTATTTTAGCAGAACCAGAGGCGTAAGGAGAGTTCACTTCTTTGCTTGATTAATGTCCAGACCCACTGGAGCCAGAGAAAGACCAACATTCTAGCCTGATGGGCACTGGGACAGGACTTAGGAACTTGGGGTTCTCCTTACTCTTCTTCCTCACCTTGTCCCAGGACCTAAAGGAAAGCCTAGAAGAAATATCCCAGAGTGTTTTAAAACTGCAGAGGGGGCTCAGTGCCTGTGGCTCAAGTGGCTAAGGTGCCAGCCATGTACACCCAAGGTGGCGGGTTCGAATCCAGCCTGGGCCCGCCAAACAACAATGACGGCTGCAACCAAAAAATAGCCAGGCGTTGTGGCGGGTGGCTGTGGTCCCAGCTACTTGGGAGGCTGAGGCAGGAGACTTGCTTGAGCCCAGGAGTTGGAGGTTGCTGTGAGCTGAGATGCCACAGCACTCTACCCAGGGGTACAGCTTGAGGCTCCTGTCTCAAAAAAAAAAAAAAAAATACTGCAGAGGGGAGGCCGGGTGAGTAGTTCACGCCTGTAATCCTAGCACTCTGGGAGGCCAAGGTAAGTGGATTGCCTAAGCTCATGGGTTCAAGCCCAGCCTGAGCATAAGTGAGACCCCCCACCCCCTGGTCTCTAAAAATAGGCAGTTGTGGCAGACACCTATAGTCCTGGCTACTTGGGAGGTTGAGGCAAAAAAAAAAAAAATCACTTGAGCCCAAGAGTTTGAGGTTGTTATGAGCTATGATGCCACAGGACTCTACCAAGGGTGACAGTGAGACTGTCTAACAACAACAACAACAAAAAACAACTACAGAGGGGTTGCTAGTCAGAGTGGAAAGTCCATGAGTAATTGCCTTGAAATATTGTGGAGAGGGCAGGGCTTTAACCATTGTTCCACTGTTCTACCTCTGGACCTCCACCTTAGCCATTGTTCTATGGTTTGGCCTTTGGCTCAATTCCTCTTAATAGCTACCTCGCTAAAATGACTGTGCTTATACCAAGGAGGTATCTAAAATTTGAGGTTCCCTTTTCTACAAATGTAGCACGATTTATTTAACCATATCCTTCATACCCTTTTGCATTATTTATTTATTTTTGGAGACAGAATCTCACTATGAGATTTACATTGCCTTTAGTTTGTTTTATTGTTTTGTTTGTGTGTATGTGTGTTGGGGGGGGAGGGGGGCTACAAAACCAGGCTCTTTATTTGTGAAGAAGAGGCTGAGAAAATGAGCTAATTTCTTCAAGGCCAGAAGGGGTTGGAAGTTGTTCCTTAGCCTGCAATGAGGTGGGAAGTCAGGGTCCTTGGTCTTTAATTTTTTATTGCTATAAATAATATCATAAATACCTTTGCACATGTATCCTTGCCTGCTTGAATGTTCTGGGTAACATACTACTATGGTTCTCTCATAAAACTTCCTGTCTTTCTCCCCTTAATAACCAATCTGAGAGTCAGCCCCCTGCAGTTAGGCAAAGACCCTGTAGTCTTTTCTTGGAGGGGTGCTCACCCACATTTCTTTCTATGCATACTATGCATATACTTCAGCGTAAGAGTCACCTGTACATAAAAATCTCTCTGAATGTTATGTTTGCTATGACCTCCTCCTCTAAAATCCTAAATCCTGCCTGTAGTCCCAGCTATTTGGGGGGCTGAGGCAAGAGAATAGCTTAAGCCCAAGAGTTTGAGATTGCTGTAAGCTGTGATGCCACGGCACTCTGCTGAGGGTTGAATTGTGAGATTCTGTCTCCAAAAATAAATAAATAAATAAAATCCTAAATCCTTAAAGTACAATACCAAGCATTCATTATGCACTACTTTATTATTATTATTATTAAATCATAGCTGTATACATTAATGCAATCATGGGGTACAATGTGCTGCTTTTATATACAATTTGAAATGTTTTCATCAAACTGGTTAACATAGCCTTCACGGCATTTTCTTAGTTATTGTGTTTAGACATTTATATTCTACCCCTAGTAAATTTCACATGTACCCTTGTAAGATGCACTATAGGTGTGGTCCCACTCATTACTCTCCCTCCACTCATCTTCCCCCCTCCCCTCCATCCTTTTCCCATTTCCCTTTCTTCTTGGGGTATAATTTCTTATGAAAGCTATAAATTGGTTTCATAGTAAGACTGAGTACACTGGACACTTTTTCTTCCATTCTTGAGATACTTTGCTAAGAAGAATATGTTCCAGATCCATCGATGTAAACATGTAAGAGGTAAAGTCTCCATCTTTCTTTAAGGCTACATAATATTCCATGGTGTACATATACCACAATTTATTGATCTATTCATGGGTCGATGAGCACTTTGGGCTTCTTCCATGACTTAGCAATTATGATTTGGGCTGCAATAAACATTCTAAGATTAGCCCACATCACAAAATCCCAAAACCAGAGATGTTGGCATGGATGTGGAGAAAAGGGAACATTTCTACATTGCTGGTGGGAATACAAACTAATATGTTCCTTTTGGAAAGATGTTTAGAGAACACTTAGAGATCTAAAAATAGACCTGCCATTCGATCCTACAATTCCTCTACTAGGTATATATCCAGAAGACCATTATGCACTACTTTTTACTGCTCTTTACTTTTAAGGTATGTTTTCTACCTTCTTGACTTGACTATAATGTTCTATTAGGCCATGCCATTTATTCACTTATTTATTCAGTTATTATAATGGCTAGCTGTATGAAACCTCTTCTAAATAATGAGGAGGTAGTAGATGAGGACTATATGAATTTGGTAGTCAAAGTCTCTGACAGAATATTTTTCATAGAAAAAAAGCACCACAAGATTATTTTCAGTTACTGATAACATTCATTGAAGTTGATGAGTCTTCTATCTCTTCTAAACACTCTAGATCAGCAGTTCTCAACCTGGGTTGCGACCCCTTTGGACTGTATTAAAGGTTCATGGCATTAGGAAGGTTGAGAACCACTGCTCTAGATAGACCTTCCTCCCCTTCAAGTAATTAAAATTATTTCCTGAGGTTCTATCACTTATTCCTTTTGCTGTTTCCATTGATACTACTCAGTTCTTCACTAAGTCTGTAGAAAAACATATTTTCCAGTTTAGTTGAGCATGAATATCATAGAAGTCTTTTCTAAATCACATATTTATAAAATTATTAAGTTTGAGAGGAAATATGCAGGGTGGTATAGTCCAGTTTTATGTCTTTAGTTAAGACCACAACAGAATGGCCTGGGGATACCACAGTTGCAATTTTCTTAAACCTCATCTATAGCCTTCATTCAATGTAATAAATAGTTATTGATTATATACTGTGTCCCAGACATTCTGTGAGGGCTAATGATATAAAAATAAGACAGAGTATTTGCCCTTAATCTAATGAATAATTAAATAAAATATAAGGCTAACCTTAAAACATTGTGATAAAATATTGGTTAATTACTATGGGAGTATAATGGAAGGAGAAGGAAGTTTTGAATTAGGATTATGAAAAGTCAGAATATCAGAAAGAGATTCTGGGAAGATGGCTGACTGGTAGCAACCCTGATCAGAGGCTCCTGAGCAAAGGAAGAAAAACTGGTTGGAATCAGAATCTATGAAGCCAAAGACAGGGAGCTGAGCCCAGAAAGAAGTTCAGCAAACTGTAAATCCAAGGAAGACCATTTAAGAACACAAAATACAGGTACAAAGTGGGCCCCAGAACTGCTTACTAGAGCTGCCTGCCTCCCATGGGTGGCGGGTGGCCACAGAGGAGTCTCCTGCACCGGGAAGGCACAGAACTACTTGCTAGAGCCTTGCACACTCCGCGGGCGGCAGCAGAGAAGTCCAGTTCTGGGAGGACCCAGAACTACTTGCTAGAGCCACGCACCCCACGGGCAGCAGAGGACACCCCCGCTCCAGGGCTCTGGGCAGGTCCAGAACTGCTTGCTAGAGCTGCACACCTCCCGCGGGTGGTGGGTGGCCACAAAGAAGTCTCCTGCTCTGGGCAAGCACAGAACTACTTGCTAGAGCCTTGTGCACCCTGCGGGTGGTGGCAGAGGAGTCCTCCACTCTGGGAGGGCCCAGAACTGCTTGCTAGAGCCACATACCCCATGGGTGGCAGAGGAGATCCCCGCTCCAGGGCTCTGGGTGGGCCCAGAACTGCTTGCTAGAGCCGCATGCCTCCTGCAGGCAGCTGGTGGTCTCAGAGGAGTCCCCTGCTCCGGGCAGGCACAGAACTACTTTCTAGAGCCTTGTGCGCGCCATGGGCCGTGATGGAGGAGGCCCCAACTTTGGGTGGGCCCAGAACTGCTTGTTAGAGCCGCATACCCCACAGGCGGCAGAGGAGATCCCTGCTCCAGGGCTCTGGGTGAGCCCAGAACTGCTTGCTAGAACTGCATGCCTCCCGTGGGCAGTGAGTGGCCACAAAGGAGTCCCCTGCTTCAGGCAGGCACACAACTACTTGCTAGAAC